ATATATTTTATATATATATATCTTGAAACCTTACTTTTCCTTTATCATAGGTCCAGTTGTTTACGTTTTGGATCTTGCAGATCGACTGATCTCAAAGGCATGTCCATTTGCTGCAGCTGGAATAATGGTGGGCTCTATATACTGGACAGCTGTTACATATGGAGCTGTGACGGTGATGCAGGTACACATGTATTCCCTCTTCTTACCAGGCTTAAAAGCAAGTCGTGTAAATAAAAAGTCAGTTAATTAAGACTCCTCTTTCCTTGACTTAAAACATGCTTTAGTTTTCAGCACTTTCTGTGTCGATAACAACTTGAGTTCAAGACAAGTGGATAGAAAGCTGTTCACTTTTAACTGATCATGCTGTATAAAGCCAGTGTTCAAATGTGGTTCAGTCTGCAAGTGAGAAAAATCAGTACTACTGCAGCTGGCTGCCCTTTGTGTGGCAGGCTGGGGAACCCACTTCTGTTCCTACAGAAAAGGAACTGTTGCCACCTAACTACTAATAGTGGGTAGTCTAATTCTTCAGAAAAGACATGAGACTAATCTCTTTGTACCTGTAGAAGAATTTTGCTGGTAACATTCAAAGGGTTGAGACATGGTGAATTTTTCAGTCCTACCACTTTTTTATTGTATAAAGGAAAGTGCGTGCTCTGAATGATGCAATTCATTCATAAACAACAAATGCAAAACACCGCAAATTAATAGTATGTTATTTTAATGACTTCAGACTGTATGGTTAGTTGAAAGGGAAAAACATACTTATTTTTCCTACTTCTGTTCTTGTGAACTTGCTATTTAAATGTAATGTTGATGGGTGGTAGGCCATCAACTATGGAAAGATTTGTTCACGGCTGTCCCTCCTTCAGCTACAAGACAAGAGTTTTCGAAGATTGTAAAACTATAAGGTTCTTTGTTACCATTTTAGTTGTCGATTCCTGTTTCAAGCCCACCCTGTGTTTTGCCTGAAAGCATCAGTATTTCCGATGCTAATTCAGTTGTAGATAGAATTAACAAATCTGTACGCCAATAAGTATTCCTCTACACAGTTCTAAATTTAAATATACAACCTTACATCGCTGTAAGTCATATCACACTACTTTTTCTTGAATTGTGTGGTACTGCCCTGCAGTTTTACAGGTGACTCCATGTCAGGATTGTGTGCTATTTTGGTTCTGCTATGTGATCTCATAGCAGAAATGTGTATGACGACCACTTGAAGGGGAGCCCAGATGAGTTGATGCAGTCTCCCTTGTACCAGTGTGCCCAGGGTCAGGCAGCTGCATAAGTGAATGTATAATGGCTTTCAAGATCTCCAGTCCAGTGGATGAGTCTCTGTATTACCGAATGGTACACTTAGGAATTTCCTCATCTGATACTTTGTTCTTGTTGTGGCCCTTACAGGAGCACTGTAACCATCTGTAATACCACAACCAGACTTCATGAAATGTACCAGTCTTTATCTCCTTGCTCACTACTGCACTGAGCCTTTTTCTGTAGGAACTTATCTGACCTTTTTAGCTTTTTTAGAACTACATAGCCAAATGGAATGATAAATGCTCCTTCCACAGTTTTGCTTTTAAAATGAGGATTTGTCTAAACATTAGTTCAAACAGCTGGTCAAATCCTAGGTATGAAGAATTAGCTATTTTCCTCTGATTTAATGTTTTTTGAACATATGGATGGCATGCTGGGTAAGAGAATAATTTATTTTTGCTTATAATAGAGGAGATTAAACTGGGAGTGGAGGGAAACTGTTCTGCCCCTTTTGCCACCCCAGATTTGCTAGGTTTAATACAACTTGTTTCCCGACGCATTTCAAACTCCTTTCCCTCAGTTGAAGCAACAGAGAGATGCACAAAAGCTATTTTTAAAGGTTAAGCTTCAGATGGAGAAAAACAAATACAGAATTGACGTTGTGACTCTAGTGGTAGCTACTCAGTTACAAATCATACAGAGTTACTGAAAACAGAGAGAAACAGTAGTCTAAAGCAGAAAAGACAAAATACTGAGGTTTTTTTGATGGACTGTAAGGAGAAAAAGGATAGCATCAGACATTACAATTTGGGTGGAAGAAGTGAAGAAGCTGGAAGACAAATGGTGAATATTTTTTTTGTGACAATATTGTTTATGCCTGTTTTTAGAGGCTGTGGTATATAATATAACTTCTTGCTCTAGAAGAGGAAAATGGAATGGTTTTCAGAGAAAGGCTAAAAAGTACAGTTGGAAGGTGCTGTGGTACGTTAGTCCAGCTTCTTCCCTGTGTCCCACCTATACCAGAAGTACTGCTCTTTTTCAATTTTGCTGTTGTTGCGTGTTCTTGCCACCTAATTCTAAGTTCTGTGCAAGCGAAGACTTGACAGCTTTTCGTATTTGTGGAGAAAACAAATCCAGTGCATGACAAATGTAGTAATTATTATTTTAGTGGTTTTAGTCTTCCTGGATTCGTATGGGAAAAGTCATGAAAGAGCTTTTTTGCCCCCCTTTTTTTTTTTTTTTTTAGAAGCACCTCAAGGCCTTTGTCAGCATTTAGTAATTCTTAAATTGATACAACTCTAGAGGATGTCTACCACTTTAATTTCTTTTTTGTCCTCAGCCCTATTAGAGTTATTTATTTAAATTTAAAAGTATGTACTTTTTAGGAAAATATAATGCACTGTTCTGTTACAGTTTTAATACGTGTATTTATAAACTGCAAAGTCTGGTTCCTTTTTATATGTCAGTAGAAAGGTTTAGACACATCAGTAATGACTGTGCTTTAAAATCACAGCACTAACCACATTTCAAAATCAGGTACAAGTGAAGATGTGCTGCTATTTCCACTACAGTTGAAAATAGTGCATTGTCTAGAGAAGCAATACTTTTCAATACCGTGATCTCTGTTGCATAAGGTATTTCTAAATAACAGACACTTTTTATTAAAATATCCTGAGATACTTCCTATCAATTTATCCTTTAAAGAGTAGTATCTAATCAGTTTCTGAATGTAGAATTAATAATTCTAAAATTGTAAATTCTTCTATGCCTTTTGGAAAGTGTGCTATTTTGATATTTCAGATGTTTAAGCTTTTACTCATACAGAAGCACGTGAAACATTTTGTGAGATGGTAAGGAACTGTGTTACAGCTCTCTGCCAAATTAATGACTTGCAAACTAAGGCTGGTAGCTTGTCTGCATTACACTTGATAAGCAACTAAGGATGAAAAGGGAAAACTGAGTACATTAGGTAAAACAGCATTTTTAAAATTCTTTAACTTAAAATGTGTGGGCAGCCCCAAACAAACTAGACTTTTAAAAAGTTATATTCTTTGTTCAGTTATGATCTTTGTTATGTTTGTCAACTATATACATATTTACTAGGTTGTGGGTCACAAAGAAGGTCTCGATGTCATGGAGAGAGCTGATCCTTTATTTCTCTTGATCGGACTTCCCACTATCCCAGTCATGCTAATACTGGGCAAGATGATTCGTTGGGAGGACTATGTGCTCAGACTGTGGCGCAAATACTCTAATAAACTACAAATTTTGAACAGCATATTTCCAGGTAATGTGATTAAATTTAAAAGGAAATACCCACCTTGGATTTGTACCTTTAGGAGATGGGGATAGGCAAGTAGTTTTTGCCATTCCTAAGTAAAGGTGATAACATCTTCCCTCTGTTTTATGTTCAGTTTGTTTAGATTGTTTTTGTAGTGAGAAAAGTGGGGCAAGAGAAGCAGGAGCATGGTTTCAGTTAAGGCCTTAGTAACAAAATGAGCTGCTGAAAATCATGGGTGTTATCTGAAAGTAAAAATGAACACAGTCATATAATGGAAACAGAATATTCACTGAGAAGGGGGATAGTTCTCAAAGTAATTGGGCTACAGATTTGTAATGGAGTGGGGAGTGGGCACTAAAGTGCTTTCTATGTTCTGCTCGAGGTAGTGGCTATGTAATCTTTTCTTCCCCCTTTAGGCATTGGATGTCCTGTTCCTCGTATTCCAGCAGAAGCAAACCCTTTGGCAGATCACGTTTCTGCTACACGTATTCTATGTGGCGCTCTAGTTTTCCCTACTATTGCCACGATAGTTGGCAAGCTGATGTTCAGCAGTGTTAACTCAAATTTACAAAGGACAATCTTGGTAAGATACAGTGTTGTTTGTTTCATAAATGCTTATAATATGGGAATATGAAGCGTTGTGTTGTGGGGGTGGAAGGAAAAGTAAAAAAAAGGACATAAATTGATCTAGAACTTGAGTGGCGTTTGATTAAGGGAAGGGTGATTTTGGGTTTTTTTTATGGTTGCCTATCTTGGCAGTGGACAATCTTCACATGTGTGAGAGACTTTGTCCTTATGACTGAAACCAATCTCAGTTCTAGACAAGGCTGAAACTTGTATCTGGTACTGTACTACGCAGATCTTAGCAGTAATCAAGGGTGCTAATGAAGATGAAGCAGCATCTTCCAAGAACAATGTCTGCAAGGCAAGACTGGGGTTTATCTTATCAACATTTTCATTTTAGCTTCTGTTTACTAATTCTTAGAGAGAATCCCTTTGTTACTCATTTTACTAAGGAGAGAAAAATAAGCTCTCCATAGAAGTTGAATGGAGGGAGGAAGGACAAGGAGAGGAGAAAATCTCATCCTTTGTGAATAAACTCTGTGGCTGGCAGCCTTTCAAGGGGAAGCACACTGAGTTTGATAAGGTGGTATCCCGGGTCACCTGACTGTCACTGCAGCCCCTGTTTTCAGTTCCAACATATTTATGTACCCCTCTCCTCCATATGGAAGAAACAGTGATATTAAAACCATTCATGCAGATGAAGGGCTTATTAGTATCTTTTCCTATTTTGAAGATTTGAGATTAAACATATTGTAAAACTTTCTGGGAAAAAACGTTAGTTTGTTTGGGTTTTTTGTTGGTTTTTTGTTGTTGTTGTTTTTTTAATTATTTCACTCCACATTTTTGGCAAGTGGCCTTTTTCACAGCCTGATACAGAATTGTAATTAGTATTACTCCTAGTCCCATGTATAGTATAATAGTCAGAGAAGGGAGGAAAGCAGATAAATATCTGCATTTTCTTTTGTTATTTAAATACAATGTATTTTGATTTTTTTCTAGAATATTTCTCAGACTTCCAAGGAAATAAAAGCTTTCAAAAGGTTTTATAGATCCAGTATGTAATCCCTTTAAGTAACGTTAGCCTCTGTAATTGTGACAGAAAACTGAGCTACTCATTGGGAATTGTCCTAATTAGCTAAATTTCAAAAGAAGATGCTATATGAATGGAAAATAAATCTTCTTTGACCAGAAATATTTAAAAAGAACATTTGCAATGACATGACACTGAACTGTGCGGGCTTTCAAAATATCTTTTTATTTCAGGGTGGAATTGCTTTTGTTGCTATAAAAGGAGCTTTTAAGGTGTACTTCAAACAGCAGCAATATTTGCGCCAAGCTCACCGCAAAATTTTAAATTATCCTGAGCAAGAAGGAGCGTAAGGCTGTGATCTTCAGATGTCGTTCAGTCTCACCTAACAGGTTTCCATGTTGTATTGGTTCCATCATTATTGCACAGTAGTGGAGAATTGTGATAAGTTGCTGCTCCTATTTTTGTTTTTCTTTAAATATAATAAAGCACTGTCTTGTGGCAGGGTAGATCCTTTCAGCAACCACTGAACCTAAGAATGTGACTTGGCTTTCATTATTTTTTGGGTATTTCTGTTGGGCAACAGGCTTCTGAATTATTTTCTTTGAGCCAATATGCTGAATGGAAAAAAAAAAAAAAAAGCATCAACTACAGGACAAGAACATTTTAAATCGTGTAGTTAATATAGGCTATGTCCAAACACCCTTTCTATACATGTTTTCATACCCATGCTCTCATCCAGTTCAGCATTTCTCACAATGAAGGGAAATTTTTTTAGAAAAGAAATGTGAGTCATTACCAAGGAGAAGTAGTTGTGGGACATCCTTGGTTTCCACTGGTATCCAACAGGGAGTGTAAAATAGTCAAATGACTGGTCAGAGAAAGCAGAAGGTAAATCACTTTCTGCAGGACTCGTGTGTCAGCTTTAGCCACCTAAGTGCTAGGTGCTGAAATGGGCATGGCTTCCAGGTGACTGTTTTATTACTGGTAATTTTTACTGTCCTGTTGTATCTTCTGCAGTGCCTGGTGTTACTTTCTCATGGCTCTCTTGCTGTTTTGTAACTGGTGGTGGATAGCGATTCTTTTCCTCCACAGTAAAATAATTACATGGGGGGAAATAAATTTCAGTTGCTTATTTTGTAGTGAAGTATCAGAGCACTTGTTTAGTTTTTGTGTTCCTTTTGATTATGTAAATATCCATACAAGTACAAAGAGCAGTAGAAGTGAGAGGAAACAACTGTGGACACTAAAGCTACATTTTAAACTGACAGATTAGAGCACCCTCCTAAACTTCCAGACCTCGGTGCGTAACTCAGCTCTGTACCAGGACTGGGCTCTTTCCTGCCCCTACCAGCTCCAGCAGAAGGAAGGATTCTAGAGAAGGACCTGCTGGATACCTGGGGTACCTAATCTGAGCATGGCGGGTACCGGCAGGCTAGACACTCTTCAGACAATGTGGCTCCATTCTGTAGAGGACTAAAGGATAAATCTTAAATGTGTAATAGACTAAGTTTATTTATACAGTAAGCTTTACTGTTACAATATGTTCAAAGTAGCCAGATGAGGGAGACATTAGCACTTCAGTTATTTCATGTATTTATACACTTAATTTCAACAGAAATTAACTGTTTTGTGAAGTTAAATTCTGACAAACATAATATGGCCGTTTAATATTCATACCAGACCTAAACTAGATTTAGTACTTGAAGTTTTTTCTTAATTTGTTTTTCTCATAGTTTGGTGGTTTTTCTTTTCTTTTCTTTTTTTTTTTTTTTTTTTTTTTCCCCTTGTTCATGTTAGTAGGTCAAATGCATGGAGAAAGGTTTTAAAAAAAAATCTTCTAGTAGAAGTATTCATAAGTAAATACTTCTTTTCACCAGAAATGAAGTAAATGCAGGATGGACTTCATATTTGACTGCAATAATGTATGTTAGAGAAATTAAAAATATGGTACCTTTTCTATAGTAAGTTTATCTTAATTCCTGAGATGTAATATTTTAGAACTGTACAAAAGTGTATATAATGGCCAACTAGTATTCAAAAACTATACAGGTATTGAAAATTATATATTCAATCAATATCAAATGCTTTTGAGGGTTCTTGCTGTAACTGAAGAATTACTATAATCTTGTAAGTCTGCTGATTATATTTGTCTTAGTGGGCTCACTTTTATATAAAACTCTAAATATAGAGTAGCAAACTCTGAAAGTTGCTGCTTTCTGTAAGATAGTCTTGAAACGATATAATACTTATTTCTTACAGATTTCTTCATTTCGAGAAAATAGCTTTTCAGTGATCTTCACTGTATATATTTGCAACCAATTTATTACTGTTTTTTAAAGTGTCATGAAGAGTTGAATTATGCAAATTAGTGGATTTGAAACTTGTTCCATGGGAAAGCTCCTGTCTCCTCTGGAAGTTAAAGCTATTGTAAAAATACAATTATAAAAATACTGTATGGATTGTAAAATGATTTCACCTGAGTGGCAGAAGGTTGTTACTCTGTTGTAAATCTTGTTTTTAAGTATTGCAAATTCTTGTTATGTTGAATTAGGTTGAATAAATATTTTTTACACTCCCTAGTGTATTTTGTCAGTTGAACAAAAGACTGTAACAAAGCTTCTGAATGGAAAATGTGTTTTGTTTTTAATGCGTATCTAAGGATTTATATAATCAATTTTAAGATGGTAGCCTAAAGAAGTATTGTGGGGATGAAGGAAGAACTACTATAAAACCTTAAACTTTTTTTTTTCCTCTCTAGTGATCAATAAATGATGTAGGGGGAATGCATTTCTCGAACATTTAAAGCAAAAGACTTTGTTGCAAAACGAACAACTGCTGGTAATACAGAACTGGGGTTGGGAGTTACTACATATCTCTGGGTTGGCTAATGTGCAGCATTTATTTGGGGAATACACTGATCCCTCTTCATTGAGAAAGATAATACTGGCTGTAGGAAGTATTTTTTCAGTAATTTATGTGCCATTACTTTCAGAACAAGGAATATGAAATGTTGTCTAGCATTTCTCAGTGTGCTTTCTTATCTGTAACTTGGTTTCTCTTATCCTTCCATTACATCAACATAAAGGCACAAACTATCTGAGCTTTGATTACATAAATACATACACTCTCTCCCCTCCCATCTTAAACTGTTAATTTAGGTGGAACTCTACTATACTTTTCACTGGTTTTGGTTTGAATGGTGGTTCTTTCCTTCATCCTCTTTCCCCTGCAAAAGCTCTTCTTTGTAACAATTTGCTCTACGTTGCCTGGGTGGGAGTATATTAATTCCCTCCTCATCTGGAGTTGTTTCTCAAAGGTTAGTTGTCTCCCTTGGTTATCAGAGAAGGGTCCAACCATGTAGCTACTTAAGGCCTCTCCAGCATTTAGAGTAGTTCTGTGCTTGTAATAAAAGATAGCCTTAGGTATTGTGACTTCAGTCAGAATTATCTCTTTTAATTGGGGACACAATTTTACTAGAATTTCAGCTGCATAATGTTTATCGTTGCAGCTGTGAGGATTCCCCTTTTTTAAATGCATACTGTGGAACTTGGATAAGTTTATGGAGTAGGTGTTTGAGGTTTGTTTGGAGCAGCTTTTTACTAGCTACTTTTTAGAAAAGTTTTTAACCACAGACAAATATGTCTCTGTTTGCATACTGGTTTTTACTGATGGAGAGAACTGGGAGAAGTAGAACTACGCAGGTAATGGATCTACTTACTGTTGCACCAGTAATCGTGCTTTTGGAACCCTGTATTTCATGTTCTGTGTCTGTGCCACTTTCTATTCAGGTTTCCTTTTTTTGAAGAACTGGGATCAGATTTCTTTAATGCATCACTGAGTACAGTCATGTTATCTGTTCTCATAAGAAATGCTGTTCTAACAATTCCTGCTTCCCATTTTAAAGTACAAATGCCAGTTTCACTAACAAGTCTGGTTTTGGAATTATTTTGTAGGCAACTGCTGCTGAAACTTGTGTTGATGTGTTTTGGGGGGTTTTTTTGTTGGTTGGTTGGTTGGTGGGTTGGGTTTTGTTGTTGTTGTTGTTGTTGTTGTTGTTGTTGTTTTTAGCATGCTGAGCTGGGGGTTGATAGGTAAAAGCTAGGAAGTCTGAAAAACAGTCTTAGCAATTGTCTTCTCACTAACAGCCCCCTGCCTGTGCACCCTTGCAGAGTCACTACTCTGCTCTGTGTAGTGTGAAACAGAAAATACTATCCAAACCCAAAAAGTAGTTGCGTATTAGTTTGAGTTCTTGTGCAGTTTGAGAATAAGCTTTGGCTTTGAAGGGTGATTAAAATGGAAGTGATTCTGTTTTGGCATGTAAGTGTTATTCATCACCTTAATTTTTCTCCTTGTTTTTTCTCAAAAGACACGTGGCTGCTTGATTGGGATGACACTTCTTATACTGAAAGGAACTTGTAGGAGGCTGACAGTTTAGGGCATTAGCCTGGGAGAGGAACTGTTCATGGAAACTAGCTTTTGTCCTGAATTTTCTGAACTTTTTATTAATTCCAGTATATTTGTGTGTGTGTGTGTGTGTGTGTATGTATAAATAAAAAAAATTGTACTAAAACTTTTCTTGGCTATAGATAAGTACATGTAAATTGCAATATTTTGGAAGATGCTTCTTGCTAGGACTGAGGCAACAGTTTAATCCATGACATTACTACACACTGTCAGGATCAACTCTATTTGCAGTTTTGTCAACTAAATAGAATTTGCTGCTGACAGTATTTAAGATAGATGACCTAAAAAAATTAAGGCTATGCACTGTTAACTGCTTTCTTCTTCATTATTCTAAATGACTTTAATTTCTTTTCACTTTAACGTTTGAGGAATTCAGCGGTTGCCATCTTCCTTACTTTTAGCTCTAGTTCCCTAAACTGAGACCTTTGACTCTTCAATTACCATGACTTACTGACAGTATTCTTACTGTGGCTACTTGAGTTTTCTGGGGGGAAGAAAACTTAAAATGCTTCAAGAAACCACACATACTCTTTGATATTTAACGTAATGTGGTAAATAAGTATTCTTCTCATATGTACTTGGAATACACCACTGAATCTGGCAGTGTGTTGTTATCCTCACAGCCTCTCAGTACCTGAACTACCATCTTCTCACCCTGCTGAGTGAAAAGGCACGTCTTCTCCTCCTAGTCTCTCATGCTTGCTTTGACTTGGGGAAAGATTTTTACTTTAATCCATTTCAATAAATTACAGCATGATCTGGGGAAATCAGAAGCCAGCATTCCTTAATGAGATGCTTCAATTCTTGCAGGCACTGAGGCCAAGACTTCCTTTCTCATTGCTGTTTAGCAGGTTGCTCTATGGGAGAGCTGTAAAACTAGAAATATTTGTGCCAAAGTTTGCCCAGCATTTCAACCATTCAAATTCTTTCTGCTTTACTAATTTATAGAAGTCCAGGGTAGGCTTCTATTCAAGAGCTTGAGTAATATAGCTCACTTTCCAGAAAGGCAACAGTCAAAAGACGAGCAAAGAGAATGTTACTGTGAGTGGGAAAAAAAAAATCTGTTCTGTAAACCCAGATGAACTATCTCCATTAGATCAGGCCTCTATACAAGAAGATTTAAGGATCTGTGGCCTCTTTGCTCATTCTTGCCACCTA